CAGGCTTTGCCAATTTAGCTAGACTGGCTGGCCAATGAATTCCTGGGAAATGCTTGATCTGGCTCAGCCAAGTGCTGGAGTTAAAGATGGGGGGATGCAGAACTTGGCTCATCATGCTTCAGAGATGTTTTACTGACTACGCCATGTTTCCCACAACCTCAGTTTGTAACTCTTTTTTTTTTTTTTTTTTTTTTTTGTTTTTTGAGACAGGGTTTCTCTGTAGCTTTGGTGCCTGTCCCGGAACTAGCTCTTGTAGACCAGGCTGGCCTCGAACTCCCAGAGATCCGCCTGCCTCTGCCTCCCGAGTGCTGGGATTATGGCTTTGGAGCCTGTTCTGGAACTAGCTCTTGTAGACCAGGCTGGTCTCGAACTCACAGAGATCCGCCTGCCTCTGCCTCCCGAGTGCTGGGATTAAAGGCGTGCACCACCACCGCCCGGCCTTTTTTTTTTTTTTTTTGGCGCCCGACAGTTTGTAACTCTTTATTGAAGACAACAAAAATCAAGGAATGAGAGTGATGTATTTATTGTTCAGGTTGCTCTTTAGAATCACACACACTCACACACACAATTTTTTATTGTTTGCTTTCTGAGGCAGGATTTCCCAATGTGGTTCAGACTCCCCTAGAATGAACAATCCTTTCTTAGTCTTCAAGTGCTGGGATTACATGTGTACCCCCATGCCCAGTGAAAAGCACGACTCAAAAAGCATTTATAACTGGGCAGTGGTGGCACACACTTTTAATCCTCGCACTTGGAGGCAGAGGCAGACAGATCTCTGTGAATTCAAGGTCAGAAACAAAGCAAGTTCTGGGGCAGCCAGAGCTGTTATACTGTTTCCTGTCTGGAAAAAAAAAAGGGTATTCATTTATTTAATTTTGTATGTGTGTGTGGTTGTCTTAGTTACTGATTTATTGTTGTAAAGAGATACTATGACTGGTCCAGTGTGGTGGTGTACACTTTTAATCTCAGCACTGGAGAAGCAGACAGGGGAATCTCTGTGAGTTCAAAGCTAGTATGGTCTACATAGTTTTAAGACAGCTAAGGATACGTAGAGAGACCCTGTCTCAAAAACAAACAAACAAACAAAAAACCCCAAAAAACCCAAGAATAACAACAAAAATACATTATGACTAAGGCAACTTAGAAAAGAAATATTTAATTGGAGGCTTGCTCATAGTTTCAGAGGGTGAGTCCATGAACATGATGATGGAGATCTGGCAGCAAGCAGGCAGGCATGCATGGCACTGGAGCAGTAGCTGAGAACTTACATCTTATCCAGAAGCCTGAGACAGAAAGCTAACCAGGAATGGCATGGGCCTTTGAAACCTCAAAGTCTACCTCTAATGACATACTTTCTCCAAGTCCACACCTCCTAATCCTTCCCAAAACAATTCCACCAACTTGGGGGTGTGGTCATTCTCATTTAAACCACCACAGTGGTGTATGCGGAACCTTGAGATTGACATTGGGTAATTTCTTTAATCTTCCTACCCCAAGTTTTGAAATAGAGTCTTTTACTGAAGCTATAGTTTGCTGGTTTGGCTAGACTGACTGGCTAGCAAGCCCCAGAGATCCCCCAGTCTTTGCCTCTCCACTGCTGGGATTACACGTATTTGCAGCCATATCCAGCTACATAGATACCAGGAATAAACACAGGTCCTCATGACTTCACAGCAAACACTTTACCTACTGAGCCATTCTCCAGTCTCAAGAGTCCATTTTTTTTGGTAGTTAATTCTTAATACTAATAATAATAACTCACAGACACACAAAAATCAGCAACCCACCAAAGCAGTACAGCAATATGAATTCAGAGAGTAACATCTTAAATAGAAAATTTCTAGCCAAATGTAGTAAAACATCTTTGTAATCCCAGCAGTTGGGAAAGGGCAGAAAGATCATGAGTTCAGGGCCGGTTTGGGCCATATGACATGTCTCAATCCCTTACTTCCTAAGGTAAAGTTCTCCATTAGCCTTGAGCAGCAGTTACTGTTAAGAAGAACTTTACAAGGAAAAGGATGGTCACAAAATATTTTGAAATATTTCAAAAAGCAACTTAGCAACGTTTTTTTCTCCCCCAAGATGGGTTTGCTATGTATTCTAGACTGGCCTGGAACTCTCTTCCTGGAGAGGTGGGACATGGGATGACAGTTGTGAATATTGAACATGTTACTCTGTTTTTAGAGGTTAAAGATAAAGAAGATGCAAAGAAGAAAGACAAATAATGTTGGCAACGGATCATTGAAACATATGGTCAAAAATATTTGTTCTTTTTCGTTTTGGTGAAGTCTGCAGCCTTGCATTTGCTACCATTAAACTAAATATTAGTCTACCATTAAACTAAATCCTCAAGTCTCCAAAACATCTTCTATACACCCCCCCCTTTTTTTTTTTTTTTGGTTTTTCGAGACAGGGTTTCTCTGTAGCTTTGGAGCCTGTCCCGGAACTAGCTCTTGTAGACCAGGCTGGTCTCGAACTCACAGAGATCCGCCTGCCTCTGCTTCCCGAGTGCTGGGATTAAAGGCGTGTGCCACCACCGCCTGGCTACACTCCTCTTTTTAAATGGCTAGCAGCCATTTCTTCTCAATTAGGGTGGCAGCCAAATGCATGCTGCTATCTTGTTAGTATTCTGGAAAACACCTTTGACCTAACTTAAAATAACAAAGTCACCTTCAAGAATTTGTCCCTGGATCAATAGCAGGTATATTCTGCACAGAAATTAAGAATGACATATCCTTTAACTATTGAAGTGTTGTCTGTTTTCCCGACCTCCCGACAGGGTTTCTCTGTGTAACAGAGCAAGGCTTCCCTGAAACTCACTTTGTAGACTAGGCTGGCCTCCAACACAGAAATCGCCTGCCTCTGCCTTCTGAAATACTGAAGTTGTTTAAAAAAATCTTTAATATTTCTCTACTAGTGATGAATTAAAAAAGTATTTCATTTGCTCATTCACAGTTTAACAGTACTCATATAAATCAACTGATGTTCCCTTCCCAGAAAGTATTTACACAAAGTATTCACTGTGGCGGAGAAACACGAGAACATCAGTGTTTGTAAGTACTGGCAGTCCATCTGCTCTGCACTTTCTTTAGAATCTAAGGCAGTTTAAGAGTTCTATATATTTTTGACTTTTTTTTATAGTTAGAATTTTCAGCTTTTCATGACTACACTGAAATTTAAGTGCTAAGTGGCATGAACTCAGTTACTCTTATGTGGACTCACAATAGAATGCCTCAGTGTGAACCTGACACCATTTTCCTACTCTCAAAAGCTGTGGAAATGTATTCGAAGACTGGATTAGTGAATATTTATGCAACCAGATCATTTCCCTTGTTGAAATACTATTGCAGCTGCCTCTCTGATCTTACTCCATTTTCTTTTTCTTGAGGCAGAGTTTGTGTGGCCCAGGATAGCCTGGAACTCGAATAGATCAGGCTGGCCTTGGAATGTGTCAGCACCACAGTGCTAAACTCCTCTACTTTTGGGTGAGTTCTTTTAGCAATTCAAGTTGGGATTCTAAGATATCTTGTTGTTCACTGGACCCTAAGAGCAGATAAAACCTGTTTTATCTATTTATTTTTTTTTCTGGTGACAGGGTTGTCCTGTGTAGTCTAAGCTGGCCTAAAATATACAGTAATCCTCTAGATCTAGTCTCCAGGGTGCTGGATTGATCAGTCTTCCTAACGTCTCTGGGCCTCAGTCTTCATACTGGGAAAGCTTTCTCCTGAAACGGGTTTCCAAACACGTTCTTTCTGGACTCTCCTTTCCTTTAGGCTCTTCCCTTAGTAACTTGTGATTTCTTGAGCCAAGCTCTATCCTCACTCCCTCCGGAAAACCTCTCTATATTTCCCTAAGCCAAAGCTCTAATTCACATCCTCCCATCACGCTTCACTTTGTCTGACCAGCTGCGTTCAGGAAGTTGCACAAGGTCTACCCGGAGGACTTTCCACCCGAGGACTGAATGAACGCTTCTCCCAACATCTCAGAGGATAAACTCAGCACATCGTCCGCATACAAATATGGAAAATTCCATGTAGAGTATTTCTCTCTTTTTTATAGGCACGCTCTGGCTTGAAACTGACTAAACAGATATGGGCCACCGAGAAACATAGCTGTGATGCGCACAGCAAGACCCTTTTTCACTCCAAGCTCGGGGAGTGAAGGCTCTGAGGGTAAAGGGCTCCACATGGTAGTGGAGTAATAAGCTCAGAGGCAGGCTTCTCCCCTGAGCCGCATCGGTGCCCCTTCCGCTCCTGGGAGCCCCTCTGCCTCCCCCGCGACCCAGCACCCCGGCCGCCAGTCACCCTAAGCCGGGTCAGCATCCGGGTCTTCTCCCTCCTTTCTTCCTCCTCCTCGGTACCGCCCCCTCCCCTGCTCCCCATCCGGGTCTCCCCCCCCCCCCCCCCCCCCCCCCCCCGCAGCCTCACCGCTGCTCACGGTTCCACGATGATCTCAGACTTCAAGCCGCCGGTCCAAGACTAGCAGTGCCCACATCAACTTCTCTCTTTATAGTTCAGACCCCGGCTCTTCCCGAGGCCTCCTTGGAGCCCTCCCCCTACTTCACCACAGAAATCTCCGCCCTCCTTAGCGGCCAACGACGCCGCATTACTCGGTGCAAGAAAATACGCCATCCCTGTCACACTGCGCAGGCGTTGTATGCCACCTCCCCTCTGCCTTATGGCCGCGCCCCCTTCCCCTCCCCGCTCTTGTCGAACGCAGGCAAGCGGCATTGCGGTTTTGGTAGTTCTTACGTCCGGGAGTATGCCAATTGGTCCGGAAGAGTGGACTACAAATCCCAGGGAGCATTGAGGCATAACTTTCTGTTTCCATAGAACTGGTGGGAAAATGGCGTCGTTGTTTGCATCGCTCAAACCAATAAAAACCGGGAAGAGGCGGGCTCCATAGAATCCTAGCCAATCCTCGATCGTCTGAGGGGCATCCGGGAAAGGAGTAGGGGAGGGGAAAAGAGCCGAGGGGAGGGGAGAAGGAGAAGGGGGGGCCGGGGTGGGGGGAAGCGATGTTTGCCCGTCAGTCGAGTCCGGAGTGAGGAGCACGGGTGCCGGAGCGGAGAGAGAGTCTCGGGCCACAGCTTGCCGCCGCCACGGCCACCGCCTGGACGTCTGCCCGGAGGGAGCCGCACAAGGTCGGCGGCCGCGGTCCTCGGGAGGGCTTCGAGACCGGGGCCCCGGACCTCCGTCTGGGAGGGATTTTTCGTCGCCCCCCCTCCCCCCGCGAGGGAGCCGGAGCGGCCGCCAAACAAAGGTACCAGTCGCCGCCACGGGAGGAGGAGGAGCCGGAGCCCCGGCCGCCGGCGGACCCGCAGCTTCTTCGCCATCTCTTCCCCCGGGCCTGCTGGTGTTGGGGGGGGAGGCGGAGCGGGGGACTCCGGCCGCAGGGCTCGGACCTCGTCTGCGCCGGAGGTAGGGGCATTATTTTTCGTGAGGGGGGGGGAAAGCTCCGGGCCGGGCCGTGCAGCGGGGCAGATGGCAACGGGGCTGAGTCGTCGGCGCTCGCAGCGGGGCCTCGGCCTCCCGGGACCCCCGCCCCCCGCGGCGCGGAGCCGTAGCCGCCCTTCCCGAGCCGCACCGTGGGCCCGTGAGGCTGGGATCGGTGAGGCATGTCCTCGGTGCCCGGCCCCGGCTCCCACTTGTGGGCCTGGCCTGGGGCGGGACGCAGACGGGTTCTGTGGGGCCGAGCCGCCTTAGCCCGAGGGCCCGCCGGCTCACTCGGGGCTCAGCCCTGGGGCTCCGGGCATCGCGGTTCCGTGGGCTTGGACGGCTGCAGCCGCGCTCCAGGCCGCGCCGGACCCTGCGCTTGTTGTGAGTTTTCTGACAGAAATGGCGTCATCGTGGAGGACGGGGAAAAGTCCGTGGAGTCGCGACAATGGGGCGGCGGGCGGTGGGGGCGGTAGGGGCTCTGGGATGGCGTGTGCCTGCTCCGGCTCCTAGCCCCACTCGGTGCCGCCCCCGCCCCGACGGCGCAGGGGGTGCCGGTGGTACTGACCGGGTGTCTTTGTTTCCCTTCCAGGTGCAGGTGAAGCTGGTGTCGCCGTGGGGATCGCGGCCCCAGAGTCACCATGAAGGTAAGGCGTCACTCAACCAGCTTGAGTGGCTTTCGAATTCAGGAAGTGTAGAGGCCGTGGCTGTGGCGGGCCTGCGAGTTTTGCAGCGGCAGGTGTGTGGAGTGGCTTGGTGCGGAGCTTTTTCCCGGGAGACAGAGGGTCAGCTGGTGCGAACATCCACGGGCTGTGGCGTGGAGTTGTGGAATCAGTTCGGAGCCATCTCCCCAAAGCTGTGCGGCTCCCCAATAGAACAGCGCCTTTTGCATGGAAACGTACGGAACAAACTGCCCGAATTAGAGCGTCTTAAATCGTAAACCAGAGAGCTGCTCTAGTTAACCCGACTCTTGAAACAGTACTGTCCCGTTGGTCTGACTGTTAATACTGATGGAAGAAAATGCCCTTTGATTGTATGGCTCGAACCGTGAATTTTAAGCAGAAAGCAAAAATACTCTTGAAGATGTTTAAGCAGTTTGGTGCACTTTACCTTTAGAGATCCGATTTGGCCTGTTGCACCTGTATTGCAGGGAGTTAGGGTTGTGTGCTTGCTTCGTTTTTCTTTATGTTGGTGTTCTGGGTCTTGGAGTTGTCACATGCTCTGCTATGGTGTGTGGTGTGGAAAACTGATGGCCAGGTTCCTTTGAAGTAAACATGTTGACTGCAGAATAGCTTCTGAGATATGTGTCGAAGTAGTTTTTTATTGGTGGAGTAAATCAGAGCAATAAAAAAAGTAGAGGTGGTGTTTGTCATTTTATGGAATTTGTAAATTTTTTTAAAATTACACTGGTATGAAAAACTTTGGTGGCTATTTGATATATCTAGATTTAACTGATGGAATTTTGATGCTAGAATTTGTTTTCTTTAAATTCATTACAAATTCAGATATGCTTGAAAATGGTAGTAGTGTGTGTTTAACGGTGTCACAGTATTAACAGTAACCAGTAGTATGTTAGAATGTAAATAGCGTCAACTTTTGACAGTTCTTTTAGATTTCTTCTTCTTTTTTTCTTTATTTTTTTTTTTTTTTGGTTTTTCGAGACAGGGTTTCTCTGTGGCTTTGGAGCCTGTCCTGGAACTAGCTCTTGTAGACCAGGCTGGTCTCGAACTCACAGAGATCCTCCTGCCTCTGCCTCCCGAGTGCTGGGATTAAAGGCGTGCGCCACCACTGCCCGGCCCCTTTTCTTTTTTTTTTTAAATTAATTTCACTTGTTTCCGGAGTGAAGATTGCTTTTGTAGAACTGCAAGTGGGTACAGTTCCAAAAGCTTCTGTTTATTCTGTTTATAGACTAATGCAAATGCTCTTGCTACTTAACTATTTGCCTGTTGTATATCGCCCATTATTAAAGGCTTTTTCTTTTTGAGTTTAGGACTCTGTTTAGGGCTTGGTTTTTATTTACTGAGTTCTATCCTGCTTTCATGTGAATGAAAACAGCCAGTGACCTGTCAGAGGCGAAACCCTTTGTTAGTCACAGATGCACAACTGTGTGAAAACAGTGAAAAGTGAGTTTTTTAGGGAAGTATGGAACTGTTTTGCTGTTGGATGAAAACTTGAGGAAAAATTTTTAATTTGACTGATAACATGTATGATATATTTGGAAGATGAATACATTTTCAGAATGTTGTAATCTGTCACAGTTCCCATTGTAATGCCTGACACATTTTAGAATGTGTTTGTAGAAGATGTAGATTTTTCTCTTTATCCCTTTTCCTGTTTAAAAAAAAACAAAAGAAGAGAAGAGAAAGGAAAAGAGCAGCTCCGTATGAGGTGCAGGCATATTAATCCCAGCAGTGGAAGGAGAGTCAGTAGTTCAAGGCCAGCCTGGGGTACACAGTCAGCTGTGGCCTAATGTAGCCATTGAGCCAGCCAAGGCCACATGAAACTGTTTCCAATAAGCAATCAAAATAGAAATGAAAGTATTCTGGAAACTTTAGCCTTAAAAGTTTCATGGTATTAGACAAATGCAGTATTTTGGGGGATATGTTACTATCTTTAAAGTAAAGGTACTTACTATTAGAAGTGTTTAAAAAAAGTTGTTAAAACATTTTCAACTTTATAGAGAACTTTTTGTTTTTAGTTTAGGGAATTTTGGGGACTCTATTATTAATTGCTAGTATTAAAATCTTACTTTGTACAATTTAATTTCTAATGTGTAAAAGACAAATTCTTCCTGAGTGCCTGAGGTCAGTGCCTGAGATCAGTGTTGAGGAGCCTGCTGCCCTTCCTCGTGGGTGTTGAGTGCCCAGCACCTATACTTTATTTATAGCCACCTCATCACTCACCCCACTTCTGTTCTCCATACACAAATGCACATAAATAAAGGTAAATCTTTAAAATAAAGAAAAGATGGCAATACTTTAAATTGCAGCATGTAGGAGGTAGAGGCAGGTAGATCTTTGTGAATTTGAGGCCAGCCTGGGGTGCATAAATGTGACTACCAAAGAAACAATATAAAATGAAGAAAAGGTATTCAGTGTTGAATATGTCGGGCCCAATTTTGTGTGTGAATTTAGCTTGTATGTGTGTATGTGTGTGAACAACATTTGAGCCATAGAGTTATTTTATGCTGTTTGTTGAATCTTTGAAGCAAGCCTTTTAAAGTTTGAATTATTATTAGTGACACTTATTAATAGTGACACTAGAAATTTTATTGTGGCAGTGTATTGAGGTAATGATATTCTTTGGTCTTTGCCTAAAGTCATTAAATGTAGAAAAGTCTATATGCTATTTTAAATGTTAGCTGGCTTTTTGAAGCAGTTTTCTTATGGTATAACCTTCAAAAATTAATTTACACAAAACCTGGTCGTTACTAGTGTGCTCTGTCTGAAGAACGTTTTTGCAGTCTGTTTGTGAGAACTGTGACTTTGTCACATAAAAGCACCTGCTTTAGGATTGATGTGACTGTTGCTGTGGACACTGCTATTAGGTAGGAGTTCCTGGTGTCCTCTTGTTTTTTCTTTTTGACAAGTATGTTAACATTTATTTATTTGTATGTGTGTACACTTGCATAAGGTCAGAGAACAGTTTATGGAAGTTGAGTTTTGATTTCCACCAAATGGGTTCTTAGGATTGGTCAAAAGGCCCCACAGTAAGGGCCCTTACCTGCTGACCATCTCAATAGCCCTTCTGTTGTTTTTCATACTTTGGTTGATAGACTTTTCAACATTAATGTGATAACATTAGGAGATGGGCTATGGAAATTACAGTTAATTACATCAAATTGATGCCTATGTTTTTGTAACTAAAGTGTTTCTCCTTTTTATACTGTGCATATTACCAACATTCTTAATATACTATAGTAAGTTGTAGAGTGAAGTAGTGGGCTTGTGTGGCTTAGATATAAGACTGTTTAGGGAATGAGTGATTTAGATGCTCTACAGAGGCTGGGCTTTTTCATATGTATCCTTGTCTCTCAGTGAGTACTGGCCTAGACCATGCAGACACACTGGTTGTAAGTGCCCTCTTTTCGGTTCTGGGTATGCATGCATACTCTTTCTTTTCCTCCTTTCCATTTGCTTCCTTTTCTGCCTTGGCTTTTTTCTTTTTCTTTTTTTGAAATAAATCATCATTTAAGAACTACTTCCATGTGTCAGCCAGTGTGATGAGGTAGCACCAGCAATTTGGCTTGCTCTCAGTGTAGTAGAAGACACTTAAAACTAAAGCACTTTCAGAGTATTTGTTCCACCATGTGACCATTGCAGTACATACTGTGGAAAGACAGCTAAGTGAGAGTCATGGAAAGTTTTCTGGGATAGTGGACGTCAGTGGTGAGTGTTAAAGAAAGGGAAAAGCATTTCAGATACAAGGGAACAGACACTGGGCAGAAAGGAACAAAGCAGGGTGGTATATATGGAAACTTAGGTTTGTTGCAGCTGGGTGTGTTGCCAGGTCTGTTATCCCACCTACTTTGGAGACCCTGGCAGGAGAATGGCAAATTCAGTACTGTCTAGGTTACAGAGTAAGCTCAAAGCTGGCCTGAGTGATTTAATGAGATCTTATCTCAAAGTTTAACAGCAGCACTTGTGCTGGGGTGAAACTAGAATAACAGTGACAAAAGATGAAGGAGGGAACCTCTCTTCCCTTCGAGGTGATGAGGTTGAAGCCGCCAGGGTCTCATACATGTAAGCAAGTACTGTACCATTGAGTTACAGTTCTAGTCTGAAAATTTCTTGAAGTGCTATGTGAGGAGTCTGGAGACATGACTCAGTTCATACACTGAGTTGTACAAGCATGAGGCATCTGAATTGGACCCCAGCAAAATTTGAATGTGGCACTAGAAGGGAGAGCTGCTGGGGCTTGTGGGCTAGCCAGTCCAGTCAAATTGAATTGCTGTGTTCCAGGTTCAGAGAGAGACACTGCTTAAAAAAGAAAAGATGGAGAGGGGCTGGCAAGATGGCTCAGTTTGCTGCCAAGCCTGGCAACCTGAGTTTGATCCTAGTAATCCTTCTGGTTTCCACATATGTATGTTCCTCTCCTACCACACACAAAATAAATAAATGTAATATTTTTTAAGATAGATAGTGATGGAAGAAGGCACCTGATGATAATTTTTGACCTGTGTGCATGCACCCAAGTGCATGTGCACCCATACACATGCACACATAAACAGGTACTCACGTGCAAGCTACATGAAACTTTAAAAATTAAATTAGAGAGAGAAAGAGAGACTGTGTGTATATGTGCGTGTGCGCGTGCACACTTCTGTGCCAGAGTGAACATTGCAGAAGACAACTTGGTGTAGTGGATATCTTTTTCTCTGTATGGGTTCTGAGAATAAAACTCAGGTCACCAGCCTTTGTACTTTCATTTTCCCAGCTCTCATTTGGCCCTCACCAGTGGCTGAATGCATGGGACTGCCTGCCTTGGAATTTTCAGTCTCCAAAAACTGTGATAAATTTGCAGTTTTTTAAAAATAAGTTTTGTAACTTTTTGTTTTGTTTCTTTTTTCTTTCTCTGTGTAGCCCTGGTTATCCTGGGACTCACGCTGTAGACCAGGCTGGCCTCAAACTCATAGAGATCCACCTGC